TTTGGAAGAAAAATATAATTTCTCGGTTTTTTTTAGAAAAACACGATTTCTCGGTTCGACGAGAAAATAATATTTCTTGACTTTAGCGGGAATAATGAATTTCTATGTTTTGAAGGGAATAGGGAATTTATTTGTTTCAGTAGGAAAATGTGATTTTCAGTTTTGGTAGCAAAACATAATTCTTTTGTTATGGCGAAAAAAACGAATTCTCGGATTTGGCGAGAAAATATGAATTTTTGGTTTTGGTGAGAAAACAAAAAAAAATTAATTTTAACGGGAAAATAAAATATCTTAGTTTTGACGGGAAAATGCTCGGTTTTGATGACAAATACAACTTTTCAGTTTTGACAAAAAATGCGATTTCTCAGTTTTAATAGAAAATGTAAATTTTCGACTTTTGACGGATAATGCGATTTCTTGGTTTTTGCGCAAAAGTGTAATATTTTAGTTTTCGCGCAAAATTTGACGATTCTGGCGGAAAATGCAATTTTTCAGTTTGATGGAAAAAGAAAATTTCTCGATTTTGGCGAGAATAAGCAATTTTTTGGTTTATATGGGAAATGCAAATTTTCAGTTTTTGACGAATAATGTGATTTTTTTGTTTTTGCAGGAAAATGTAATTTCTTAATTTTCACGGGAAAACACAATTTCTCGTGAGATAATGCAATTTTTGGTTTTCGCGGGAAATTGTAGTTTATTTGTTTTGGTAGGAAAGCGTGATTCTTGGTTTGACGAGAAAATAAATTTTTGGTTTTGGCGGGAATAGAAGATTTCTCGATTTTTGCAAGAAAATAAATTTTTCGGTTTTGATGGGAAGATACGACTTTTTATTTTTGTAGGAAGATGAATTTTTTTGGTTTTGGTGAAAAAACGTGAATTTTTTGGTTTTGGCGAGAAAACATAGGTTCTCGAAGGAAAATAAAATTTTAGATTTTAGGTTTGACGAGAAAATAATTTTTTTGCTTTTGGCGGGAGTATGCGCTTTCTCATTTTCATGGAAAAATGAAGTTTTTTTGGTTTTGATTTCTTGATTTTTGTAAGAAGATGAAATTTCTATGTGCTAAATTTACAAGTTAAAGTATGTTTACAATGACCAAAATTTAATTATTTAACTTCAACTACAACGATATTTCAACAGTTCAAATATAACTTTCTATTTAGTTCTAAAGCAATAGCAATAGTTTTAATATGAATGTTATTGATTATAGTTTGGTAGTTTTAGAAACATATGTTTATAATAAATATTTGATAAATAAATAAATTTTATAATTCAAGATAATCATATTAATTAATAAATCTATTTTTAAAATGATAATTTGCTTTATATAATTACAAAGGAGAATCAAGTGACAACTTATTGGAGAAAATAGATAACATTTGCCATTAGCATGAATGTACTAAAAAATATATTGATTTATTCTTACATATACATATATAATTAGTTAGCTAAACAAATTAATAGTAAATTATAATTTCAAAAAATACAAAAAATAAGGATATACAATGTTTATTCAAATTTAAAACATGTAAATACATAACTTAGGCTAATAAAAAAATATAATACTCATTTTCATTATAAAAATAATTTTATTATATTAAAAATATATAGAAAATTTAGAAAAATATCTCGCAGCGTAACGCGGGTAAATACCTAGTAAGATCAAATAAGCAATTAAGTGAACAGGAACTGAGTCTACAAAATTATAACAAGCTCTCGAGTAGTTAATTCCCTTACGACTCATTCTTCAATTTTCTTGGAACTCCTATGTTTGGTAATAATTTTGATTGAATTTCTTGAAGAGTTGGAAATGCTCAACCCTTACTTACGTAGTTTCATTTTCATTAGGATCACTGATTTATAATTTAGATTGAGATTTCGGTTAAGTTATAAACTGATATTCTAGTCGAAAAAAAAACAGTTTGAATCATGCAGTACTTAACAAAAAAAAAGAGTTATATCCGTTGTATATATGTTTCGTTATTCAATATAAAACTCATAGCTATGCATCGTATATAAACTGACCATATATCTTTTTGATTTTTTTTTAATTATGCAATTAATCGGTTATGTTTCTGATGGTAGTTGTTCATTGATATTTTGGACAATAATTAAGTGTCATTAATGAAATAAACAAATAATCAAACATAAACAGATAGATTTGAAATATTTAAAATATGCAGTGAGCAAGCATCTGATGCTCACATATACATATATAGGTATAATTAAAAGAAAGAGAGAAAAGCAGGGATGTGATTAAGAAATGGTTTGACAGGTAATCATGCGTATTAGTTTATGCAAAAACACAGACGAGAGAATATTCCTCCAACGGCAAAGGTTATAAGAATTAGTAGACATTTCTCCCCAATCATTGAGATACACGTCAACAGCTTGAAACTCACTCTGATTGGTTAGCTGTAACGCGGTACGCGCTATTGCATCATAAATGAAAGTATGTCACCGCTTTTGATATTTTTTTTTGTTTGTTTCAGAAAAGCCCACTTTGATAATTGATATATCCATACACTAATCGTCACTTTGGTATATGTCACCTCTCTGAATGTAGCTATTTGACGCTAATTTTAGTTTTACCTTCAGGGTTTTAGTTAGTAATATTGGGGATAAATTATAAGTTCTAAATGTATATAATCGTAAAAAGCATTGAATAGAGTTGGTAGATAGATGCTGTAAATAATAAAGAGAGGAATGGGGGGAGTCACGTGAAAGGAGTTTAGGGTGGAATTAATTTGGATTATATAAATAAATGAATAAAAATATCCGTACGGTGCAGTCGTACAGGATAACCTACCCACTCCCACCTCTTTTTCTCTCTTACCTTACGTGTCATACCGTACAAGCCAACGTGACTTTTCTGTATCAATTTAATTAATCGAATACAAAATAAATTAAATAGACAAAAGTGTGGGACCTATTCTCCACTACGTCACAATTGCCCGTTACATGCCGTTTGCTTCTCTCTCTCTCCTTTTTTTTTTTTCTTTTCGATTTTATTAGTCATTATATTTTCTCAGCCCATATTTATTTATAATTTGTATTGACGTCGAAAATATATTGTCGGCTAAAAAAGACCGTTCTGATTAAAACCATCGAATACTCTTTGGAAAAAGTACGAAACCATCGTGCTCTCCTACTTAAGTTTCTTTAATAGTCATCATCACATTGGTCTGACACGCTTGAATGCTAATTTGTCTTGAAGATTGGTAGAATTTTGGTTGAAAGTTAGTAAATATGATAAATTTCACACTTGCTTATCAAAATTCTTCGATCAAGTCAAATGAATTTGCCTTTGTTTATTAATATACATACAATTTTCATTTGAATAGTCAGCCAGATTAAAATACATGTTAAGCGTATACAGTTCAGCTTTCATTTACATTATTCGTTGAATGACAATGACTTACAAACACATTTTGTAAAATTCAACAAGGCGATTCTGTCCTAATAAAAGTTGAATGAGAGTACAAGACTGACATAGAAGTGCGTGTATCACATTTTCAGACATAGAAGGTTCCAACAAGTACTACTAGTAAAAGTCTTCTTTAAATAGCGGTGAAAAGCAGATCATTTGTATATTCATTCCCATATATCTCTTTCTATGCATGCATTGAAATTGAATAATGGATGGCGAAACAAGAAACGAAAAATATCTAATGGAAGAGCAAATGTCTAATAGAGTTTCACAAGTCAATATGTTTGACTCCAAATTTAAAGAGACAGCCACAAGACACTTTCCCTCCTACTTTTGCCGTGATTTACAGCATTAATATGCTTTAACTTTCTTAATTGAAATACAGAGTCACTCACAAGTACGGAACTGAAAATATATTTATGGCAATATTTTTGTTCAATGTGGTCCATATATAGATTTACAGTTTCAAAGTGGAGGGTGCCCACATTGGTCTTTGCTTTTAGGGTAATACTGACCCCAGTCCCTTGCCTCTTGGCTCCACCTTTGTCTGTTTGGATTTTCAAACCTTTGTCTTATGACTCATCACCCTCCTTTACATCCTTTCTATGACTAAGCGATTACTCATTATTTTGAATCCTTTCATTCATTTATATATATATATATAGATTATTGTAGACTGATAATGTGATGATTCTTTTTTTTAGTGACATCTTACTGGTTATTCCAGTCGTGTGCTCATGTTTTGATTAAAATTGGATTATCATTTGCTTTTACCATCAAATCTTTTTAGTTTTGGATGTTGCCAATTGGCATGCCTCGTAATTTAAACTAATCTAGTGGTCACCAACAACAGTGACCATAAAGTATGCGATGAATTAATCGCAGAAAAGTGTTTTCGTATAGTATGAATTTATGGTCGCTTGAGCTATATTTTACTGTAATTGTTTCAGGTTATCATATTGTGCCTTATTTTTGCGTTTATGTAATATAATTCATTTTATGAGTAGTATAAATAAGCCCAAGAATTAATGGCCCATGCCCATGAAATCAGTCCAACATCAAAAAGTCTTCTTTTTTTCATTTGATTCTACACTTTATGCTCTTAATAACTAATAAGTCTCAACAAAATCAACATCTTTACAAGCGACTCTTCAATATTGATGTTCGAGATAAATAACTGATATAAAATGTTTGAAAATCTACTAAATAAGAAAAGAATTAGCAAAAAATTAAGTTATAAAATGATAAATTAAAATTGAGAAAAGATTACTTGTAGTTTGGCTCGATCAAAGCTAGCATAGCGCATACAAATCCATATGTGATAATGTCTCCTCATAAGAGAATATCGCTGTAATTATAGTTATTGGTATCTTTTAATATGGTTTTGGTGCCTACTTTGTGCATTTTTTTAATATAAACAAACAAAATAATGCTTTATTTACCATAAATGTTGTATTTTAAATTGTTTATCTTCATGCATATGTTTTGTAGTTCTTAAATCTGGTCAAAAATGTCAATAAGTACGATTACATATGTATATGTGCTATGACGACATTTAATCTAGCCAGACTCTTAGTATTTTCTTTTGTCTAGATCTGCTAAAGCAAAAACGCAATCTATTTTGAAACGATAGTTCTCATCATGAGCATAAAGTGCCTTCCCAATCAATGTCAAGCATCTCACGTTGACAAATAGCTTATCTGCATTGAGACCATTTAAATTGTCTGCCATTATCGCCAAAGCTGCGCTAAGTTCATCCATGTTAAGACCAAGGTTTTCAACATCTTCTTTTTCTAGCACATAATTTCTGTAAAGACTAGGATGTCTGTAAAAGAGAGGAAAGAGGTTGACGGTGAAATAACAAATGACACTGATCCTCGCACCGTATTTTTGAGTATACCATAAATTAATCGCAGAAAAATGCTTTTATAGAATATAAATTTATTGTCATTTGAACTATGTTTTACTGTGATTATTTCAAATATTCATATTATGTATTTTGTGCGTTCATGAGATCTCCTCTCCTAATTTCCCATTTATCATTTTTGATACAAGTCTTGAGACCTCTCAAGTTTCCGTTACAATACAAAAATTTTCTTGGCGTTGATTGAAGCTCTGCTCAGAATCATTGATCGCTTTTAGATACATAATTTCTTATTTCTCAAAAATCCATCGTCTTATCTATATATCTATATATGTAATCTATACCTTCTATTTTATTAGAAATATGTTTTTCAATATTTAAATTAACTGTTCTAATTAGTTATTAATTTGCCAATAAAGGATAACCATTAAAAATATTTTATATAATCAACACAACTATCATATTATTACACCTACAGATCATCAACAATATTTCATAATTTACATATACTGCAAGTCTGTAAACATTATTTTCTATATATGAATTATCCTTTTTTAATTCAAATAAATTAAGATTGATAATATTAAGAAAAATATGTATTTTGTTAATCGATTCCAAAGAGAACATATCTAATACCATACGAAAGTGAATAGTTCATCGATAGATGAAGCTCTCTCTTTATAATCTCGTGCTTCAGAAACTCACATGCATGGTCAAAAGAAGAAAATGAAGACAAAGGAAGAATATACAAATATGAGAGGTATCTCAAGCACGTCTTTTGCTGAGACGCCATGAGTTAGGCTCGTGATACCGATCATACAGAGGCTCGATCCGTTCTTGGCGCTTACGCTTACTCAATTTGGTCGTATCAGCGGCTTTGAAGAACCTTGGAGCTAACTCAATAAGCCACTTTGGGTCGATCACAGTCACTTCTCTCATATACTCTCTGCTCGTCATCATAACATCATGATATATCACCCAATCCGGTTGCCTCTGGAACAGCGCGCTGCTCGGGTGAATGTAAACCGGTTGGTTCTCCACTAGCGTCCTGTAACCTTCCTGCGGATCTTTTCTTGCTACATGAAAGAAGAGTCCTGCCGTGATTGCTTTCCTTATCTTGGTGAAATTCTTTCCCGTGCTTACAACATCTAGTTTATGCTTGTCCATGATGCTGACAAGTTGTTTCCTCACGTCTTGAGCATGCCGTAATGATCGTGACTGTAGAAAGTTTTCGAAACACCATGGACCTGAGAAGTTCTTGGCCTTCCAAGCTTCATATACAGTTAGCAATGTCAAGTGGTCATCTTCAGGCTGGAAAAACTTGGCCTTTTTTTCGTCTGCTTTAGCTTGCTTCTCCCTCGGTCTATAGAATACGTTGCCCGCCTGGATCATAGCAATCATCGTTAAAACCTCATCGCTGCACCCGAGATCCACACTCGTCAGCAACATTTTAGAGAGCGGTGGTTCAAGAGGAAACTCCGCCATTTTTCTTCCTAGCTTTGTCAACAATCCTTCCTCATCTAAAACCCCCAGGCTGTACAGCTGTTGCATAGCAGAGATCAAAGCCTGCGGTTGGGGTGGATCCATGAAGTCAAATGATAACAGGTCGTTAATGCCCATTGCTTTCATGGTCAGCGTTGTGATTCCAAGATTAATCCTCTTGATCTCAGGGATTGATGTAGGAACCATCTCGTTGTTGTGTGTGCTCTCGGTGTAGAGACGGTAACATTTCCCCGGACCGGTCCGACCAGCATGTCCAGCCCTCTGCTTCGCAGACGCCTGTGAGATTGAAGTTACGACTAGCGATTCTATCCCTTGCTTTGGATTATACACGTTCTGCTTTGCAAACCCGGGATCAACAACATAGTATATCCCGTCTATTGTCAAAGAGGCTTATGCAATATTTGTAGCTACAACCACTTTCCGCGTACCAGGAGGGGCAGGATCGAATATTCTAGACTGCATTTCACTAGGAAGGGCACTGTAAACAGGAAGTATGATGAGTTTAGGAACTCCTTTACCAAGCATCTTCATTTTATCGTGCAGAGACTCGCATGCATAATCGATTTCTTTCTGTCCCGTCAAGAAGAGGAGAATGTCACCCTCCGACTCAGTCAAGTGAATCTCGAGAACTATTCCCAGAGCTGCATCCAAGTAATCGCTTACTGGCTGTTTCACATACAGATTCACAACAGGGAAGGCTCTTCCAGGAACTGAAAAAATGTTACAGTTGAAGAAATACCCAGAGAATTTCTCTGCATCCAATGTGGCAGACGTGACTATCAGACGAAGGTCAGGCCTGCGTTCCAACAGCTTCTTTAAAAGACCAAACAGCACATCAGTGTTAACTGTCCGCTCGTGAGCTTCATCAAGCATGATCACAGAGTATTGAGAGAGGTTTTCATCTATCAGAACCTCCCTGAGAAGCATACCATCGGTCATGTACTTGATCACTGTATCTGGTCCAGTACAATCCTCAAACCGAATCGCATACCCTACCTCCTCTCCCAAACAACAGCCAAACTCCTCAGCCACTCTCTTGGCGACAGACATTGCAGCGACCCTACGAGGCTGGGTACACCCAATCTTTCCTTTTGTTGTGTAACCTGCCTCGGCAAGATATTGAGTAAGCTGTGTTGTCTTCCCGGATCCAGTCTCACCAATAACCACCAAGACTTGATTATCGTGAACAGCTTGTATCAGCTCCTTTTTCAACTTGTATATAGGTAGGCTCTCCCTTTGCTCCTTGATAGAAAGCTTTGATCTCTGTCCAAAAGTGGGTGTTTTCCCAAAAGCATCCTTCTTCCACTCAGGTATGTCGCAAGCTGACAACCCCACACCCCTAAGCTCCTGGGCAAGATGCCTTTCACCAGATTCAGGCATAGGATCTTTCCAAGGACGATTCAGATCCTTCGGGATCGAGTCAAGCATCGCTCTTTGCTGCTGGTCCCTCATCTCTTTCCTCTCCTTAGTGAGGGCAGACTGAAGTGCAGCGGCACGACTCAAGGAACCTTCAGGATTCTTGAAGATCTTTACTGGAGACATGTCAGCAGAGCACCTGGTATGGCCTTGTAAGAAAGCAGGCTCTTCTTCGTTCATCTCAATCTCAAGTTCTTCTTCAGCACCTTCGTCTCTGTCCTCATCATAATCTGGAAAATCATCCATTTTCAAGGCACTAGAGGCAATCAACTGCTTAGCTTCCCACCTCTCAGGGGAGCTCATCTTCTTCAATGGCTTGCGTGAAGGCGCAGCATCACTCTCCTCCACAATCCGGATTCCCGAAATCCCAGTCTTGGTTGGTCTATATGATGGATTACTCCTGGATGAATCATCATCGTGTGAAGGCTCCTTCAGAGGGATCAAATCTCTGCCCGTCTTCTGATCAACATCTCTCATAGAAAGACTGTATTTTTCATTCGAAATAGATATTAGTTTGACGAAAACCTCCATACCCCGCTTCACAAAATCTCTGGCCTTTTCAACCCTTCTACTACTCATCTGAGAAACATGAACCAGACCTTCTTTTCCTCTCAATCTATCGAGTTGAACAAAACATCCTGAATCCATAACCCTAGTTACTCTACCTCTGTATACCTGATACAACTCCGGCTCATTCGTACCACCGAATCTATCCTCCGAGTAGTCACGTCTGTCACTTCTTCCATCGCCACGAGCTCTTTCTCTATGCCTATCACTTCTTCTTCCTCTACCATCATCATCTCCACGGGGTCTCTTTCTATCATCTCGATCCCTACCAGATTCTCTCCGGTCGCAAACCCTATCCCGATCCTCTTCTCTATGTCGCTCCGGAACTTCTCTTTCAAGCGCATTCCCTGTGTCCTTGGTATCCTTAATCGCTGAAATTTGGAATCTCTCCATATCTCCGTCGTCTAGATCCTCTACCTTCTTCTCAGACTTGGGCTTCGGCGGGTAAATCCCGTGGATTACAGTTAACAGCGAGCGAAGTAAATAATCCGGCATCTCTGCGTCGTCCTCCTTCAACCTCTTAACGAATTCATCAACGGTCTCAGAGTGGCGGCCAATATCTATGAGGAACTCGGCCAAAACCTTTGGCGCTTGACCTACATGCGTCTCCAGTTCATTACAGACATTGGAGACGAGAGAGAGAAAATTCAATTTGTCGAGAGTCTTCTCTGCCATGGCCGAATCCAAAGGAACACCCAGATAATCGAAGAACTCAACTGGTTTCTCGATATCGATTTCTAACACAAAACTTTACAAACTCATCATGTATTTATAGCAAACAAAGTCGGTAGCTTTTGTTTGAGCAAAAAGGAAAAACAATTTTGTTTTGACCAAAAAGGAAAAACAACAATACCAAAAAGGAAAACAGAGGCAAATTATTTATTTATGAATTATCAACAACATTAATTCATCTCATCTGGATCGGCCTTTTAAGTTATTTTTTACCTTTTACAAGAAGACCATAGGCCCACTTAAGTTATCCTTTTTATTGTTGCATAATTTAGTTGGGCCCGAGATTTAAAGCGCTAGGCCCATTGAACTAATCTAAAAGCAAACTCATCCTCTTCCTTACAAAATAGCCTTAAACCCTAATTATATATCTCTGATTCTTCTCTACAATAGAGTACTGCATAAATATTATTACCATCGGTTTCTCATAGACGACGGCTAGGGTTTAAAGTTCCTCTTCACAATGGCGATGTATCTTCTTTACGAATCATCTTCCGGGTACGCCCTGTTCGAGGCACACGGTCTCGATGAGATTGGACAGAACACAGAGGCTGTTCGAAGCTCCATCTTGGACCTAAGTCGGTTCGGGCGGGTCGTCCAGCTCACTGCTTTTCACCCTTCCGAGTCTGCACTCGATGCTCTCAACCAAATCAACGCCGTATCTGAAGGTGACTCTCCATTAAACTACATCTCTTTTACTCTATTTAATACCTGCTTCCTATGTTTTTCTGGAAAGAGCTTCATTTTTATTTTATTTTTGGCTAAAAATCGAGCTCTTATATGCTTACGATGCTTACTACTAGAAATAACTAATTCTGCTCTGTGTTGGTTCTTGGTCGATAATAAGCAAATTGTTTAACTTGTTAACCTTAAACCTTGAAGGGTATATGAGCGATGAGCTGAGAAGTTTTCTGGAGCTGAATCTTCCGAAAGTGAAAGAAGGCAAGACCCCCAAGTTTACCTTAGGAGTGTCTGAGCCCAAAATCGGCTCTTGCATTTTCGAAGCCACAAAAATCCCGTGCCAGAGCAACGAGTTCGTCCATGAGCTTCTCAGAGGTGTTCGCCAGCATTTTGATAGGTTCATCAATGACTTAAAGGTGTGAGATTTTTAGTTTACCGACCACTCTCTTGTGTTCCCTCTCTTGTGTTTGCAATTCATGCTCAATGTTCAATTCTTTCTTCTTTTTTAATAATGTAGCCTGGTGATTTGGAGAAAGCGCAACTTGGGCTAGCTCACAGCTACAGCAGAGCAAAAGTGAAGTTCAATGTTAACCGAGTGGATAACATGGTTATTCAAGCCATTTTCCTGCTTGACACGCTTGATAAGGATATCAATACCTTTGCTATGAGAGTCAGGTTTGTTTTGTTCTTCTACCTTTCAGATTATCTCTTGTCTTTTACTCGTAGTGAAAAATTGGTTTCTGAGCAGCTGCTTATATAATTGTTTCCTTGCAGAGAATGGTACTCGTGGCACTTCCCCGAGCTAGTCAAGATCGTCAATGACAACTACCTCTATGCCCGAGTTTCAAAGATTATAGAGGACAAGTCAAAGTTGTCTGAAGAGCACATCCCTATGCTTACTGAAGTCCTTGGGGATGAAGATAAAGCAAGAGAAGTCGTTGAAGCTGGAAAAGCATCTATGGGTAATAAACTGATGAAGATTGTCCTCTGTATCTTTCCAGTGTATCTATTCTATTCTCTGTCTTGATCTAAGATATTTTTTCTTGTTTTCCCTCTTTGAAGGCCAGGATTTATCTCCGGTTGATCTGATCAACGTCCAGACCTTTGCTCAGAAAGTGATGGATCTTGCGGATTACAGAAAGAAGCTCTACGACTATCTTGTTGCTAAAATGAGCGACATTGCTCCAAATTTGGCGGCCTTGATCGGAGAGATGGTTGGGGCAAGGTTGATTTCACATGCGGGAAGCCTGACAAATCTTGCTAAGTGCCCATCTTCAACTCTCCAGATTCTCGGTGCCGAGAAGGCACTTTTCAGGTGCGTTTCAAGCTCTTTGTCTTGTTAGTTGCTATGCAGTTTTTACTTTTTCTTGCAGAAACTGACTGTGCAAAAAATTTCAGGGCGCTGAAAACACGTGGAAACACACCCAAGTACGGTCTGATATTCCATTCTTCATTCATCGGGCGTGCATCTGCTAAAAACAAGGGACGTATTGCTCGTTTCCTCGCAAACAAGTGTTCCATTGCTTCCCGGATTGATTGCTTCGCTGGTAAAAATCTTAATTTCTCCTGAATGAGTGAGTGATCTTGGTATATAGTGAGATTGATGTGTTGTTAAACTATAAAACAATGGTGTATCTCTTATACAGATAGCAGCACTACAGCTTTCGGTGATAAACTTCGGGAACAAGTGGAGGAACGACTTGACTTTTATGACAAAGGTGTTGCCCCACGTAAGAATGTTGACGTAATGAAAGAAGTGCTGGACAGTCTTGAGAAGAAAGGTATAATATAAACATTCTCCCTTTCTCTCTTTCTCTCATCTTTTGAGGTTAAACTTGATGTGTGTTTTCTCTCTTTAAAGACGAGGGTGAAGCAAAAGCAGTGGAGGCCTCAGAGAAGAAAAAGAAGAAAGAGAAGAGAAAGACGAAGGAGAACGATGAGGAACAAGAAGAGGAGAAGTCAAAGAAGAAGAAGAAGAAAAGCAAAGTTGAAGAAGAGGAATTGACGACTGATAATGGTCACAGCAAGAAGAAGAAGAAGAAGAAAACTAAGTCGCAAGATGACGAATAGACAAGACGAGTTTTTGTAATGTAGAAGTTTTTCCCCTCATGTTCTCTGTTTTTGACTTTAGAAACAAATTGAAACCTATCGGAAATTTTATCAGATTATCTAGTATTGAGCCTTAGACAAAAGAACAACGCTAAGTTTTGTTTTTCAGGTCACAATTAATATTATTATCAAGCTTTTTGTTAGAGATCTTGAAATTGATCTGTGCTCAATACATGTTATTTGCTTCATGTTAAGGTTTTCAAATACTGACTCCGTCTTAGTTGATAATTTCTTATTTCTCTGGTAAACTTGAAGAAGATTGAAAAACAGCAAGAGGATCAAACATGGTTTTATCTTCTTTATTACCTCAAAAAAGAAAACTAAAATTGCAGAAACAAGAGACTTCTGCTGAATCGTAACCAAAGTATAACAAAGAGAAAAGGGACAGCAAGAAAACAAATCTACTCGCAGAGAATGAGCCTAATCATCGCGAGGACCAAACACGAAACAGAGAAGAAGAAGAGCGTCACGAAATCCCTTGCAGACCATTTCCTCACAGGCTTCGACTCAACTCTCAAGCTCTTGGCTCTGCGAAGAGCGTCCACTTCCTTGAGCAAATCAAACTCGATCCCTTTCTTCTTCAACTCCTCAACGCATTTCCGCAGCAGCTTCGCGTCTTCCTTCTCCCTCTCCAACAACTTCTCAAGATGCGATTCCACTTCCGATTTGTACCGTACGGCCCAAATGATCCCTAGCGAAGACAGGAGCGCGCAGAGTGAAGGGATCCATGATCTCTTGCAGGCGGAGGAAGCAGAGGAAGAAGAAGAAGCAGCGTGGAAGAGTAGTAGCAGAGAGATGGAGTGGAATAGGAAGAAGAAGATGTAGAGCTGAGTGATCTCTCGCCGAACGGAATCGATCTGGGATTCTTTGTGGGAGACGCGGCTGAGGATGAGCTCTTCTTCTTTGAGCCATTGTTTCAGGAGAAGCTTGTGTGTTGGCGTGTCAGCGATCTGGTGAAGAGGGTGTCTCGTCTTTGACTCCATGATCGGTGGATTCGTGCTCTGATCTAAAGCCATGGAAGCAAGCAGCAATACAATGGAGAAACAGAGAGATGGAGAGAGAGAGAGAGAGAAGCGATTGCGTTTGTGGGTTTCCAGAGGAAAGATGCGGATTTGATTAATAAAGCAGCGAAACGTGTGGCTCTTTCTTTGGTAACGGCTCTTTTGAGTTTTTTCAAGTTTTATGCAAATTTACAGATTTATCCTCAACGCCTAACGGTCATCACACAAAACACGGCTCGGCTCGGCTCCGTCACGCGTTCACATGGAACTGTCGGATACTTTATACTATTAACAAAATTTGTAAAAATGGCCCATGGCATATATTATGCCATCGATGGATGGACCCATAAACACTTATTGCTAAAACTCGTGTACATAAAATAGCCCATGAGTGAAACCATTTTGAAGAGATTAGTGAGAAACACATCACACCACTCACGTTTTATTGTGCTTAGTTATTAATTATCAATCCGGTAACGCAGCTTTCACCACATGTCATCAACATTCACAATGCAACCAATGAGAATTAGACGTTACAAAATCGTAACAGCACTTAAGACCGTATACACACGGTAGGTCACATTTACCAAAAAAAACAAAGATGGCTTCTTCTCCGCTTGCAAAACTTATTCTCCTCCTCACCACACTTGTAACGATATCGGTAATCTCCAGAGCCGACAAAGAGCTAATGATGCAACAATGCCACAACTCCGATAATCCCACCGTATGTCTTCGCTGTCTGAGCTCCGACCCAACTTCTCCAAAAGCCGACCAAGTCGGAGTGGCTCGAATCATCCTCGGCTGCGTCAACTCTCACCTCCTCAACCTCACTAACAGCGTTTCCACTTTGGCCTCGAAGCACCACAAGGACCCCAAGGCTGCAGCCGCGTTTAAACAGTGCGGTTCGGGATACAGAACGGCTAAGCGTGGCGTGCGAGAGGCCGACGCTCACTTGGTAGCCGGAGATTACGACAAGGCTGCGTATGACGTCAGCATGACGGTGGAGGATCCTCCTGTCTCGTGCCGTGCAAGTCTCGAGACCCTCAACTTCAGTTTGCCCTCAAGTTTTCGTTACAATACGGAGGTTTACTTGGCGTTGACTCAAGCTCTCCTCAGGATCATTGATCGCTTCTAGATAGTTTATGTTTCTCCAAA